GCAATTTCCCTACAGTAGAGTAAGGTAAAATAATATACCTGGGGAAAAAATAATTTTTATTTATTTCACAGTGCAATTGTTTTACAATATATGCCTATTACTGTCATAGGAATAATACTATAAAATTATTATTATTATTATTTTATTCTAATTTGTTTGGCTTCCAAATTCACCATTGAGACTGAGACTCTATATCACAACTAAAAGGAGGGTGGAGTCCCCTTTAAATTTCAAGAACAAGTACATTCACCAGCTTTTTTCTTTTACTTTGCACAAAGAACCTGTGTTGGAGCTTTTAATTTTGAACTCTCAAAGTGCACCAGATTTATGAATTTAACTTTAAAATGTACAAAATTTTCTTCCGTGGGGCATGCCCCCAGACCCCCAGAGGGATCGAGGACCACCCACCACAGTCTCACAAAATCCTGTGGGAAACATTCACATTTCTCAAGTTCATCTTTTACAATAATAATTTACAACATGTGAGAGAGGAAATAATACCACATAGTAAAAAATGACTCTTAACAACTTTAATCCTTCCTTAACGTTTAAAAGAAAAAAGCACCGTCAGCTGCGAGCAAAGGGAAAGAAATGTCCGCTCTGCCTTGTCTTTACTCTTTTGAAGATACCAAACCTTTAAACTCTTACCTCAGAAAAGCCGAAAGAAGAGAATGTCTTGATGGCGAAGACGGGCTGCAAGGTTCTGCAAACCTTGAAACTTCTTAAGTCCTTGACTTATACTGATACTTGATCTTCTAAGGAGTCTCATTGGCTGAGGAGCTAATGTGAGGGGGGGAGACCCACGGAATGTGCTGGATGAAAGGACATTGGAAAGCTGAGGCACCCAATCGCTATATCGCTAGTTCACTTGCTTTGGTCCGGACCAAATACAATGTTGTTGTTTTTTTTGTTTGGTGCGGTTCGCTTTCACACTTCCCTTTTTGCAAGTTATCCACAAATTGTAAACAAAACCACACGTGTGCTAAGGTCATCCATTCATTGGTTCATCCATTCAACCGTACCAGAGTTCGTTTGGAACTGGACCGAGACCACCTCTTCAGCTGGGTCTCGATGCAGTTCTAAGGAGTCTCATTGGCTGAGGAGCTAATGTTGGGGGGAGGGAATCTGGACCATAAGGAGACCCACAGAATGTGCTGGATGAAAGGACACTGGAAAGCTGAGGCACCCAATCGCTATATCTGTCATAGCACAAGGCAAAAATAAGCCCAAGTTAAGAGGGAGAGCATGCTAAGGGTCTGAGGCTCTTTTAGAAACCTGGCTGTTGTAAACAGAGGGACACAAAATGTCTTTGTGGATGCTGTTGGGAGCAGGGCACAGGGTAGACGTCACAGTCCTTTTGGACTGATGATACAATAGCCTAGATGTACAAAGCTAAATTAGTTGAGCTCTTTCTCTATGTAAAGTTGGATGATTATTTGTACACGTCTTTGTTGTTGTCCACAATAGCGATTCTGTGTGGAGCACGTTTGACCACAGCAAGAATACGCTGTAAACAAAAAAATTAATAAAATCAACAGTAATCAACAGTGCCTGAAGTGTGTACACCAATCAGTGAAATGAAAACTATCTTAAGTGTAAGTGTATTTTACTGATTTGATTCAATCGAACCAAACAAGACAGGTGTGAATACACCCTAAAATTAAATGTGCTTTTACATACACTGTAACTTCACTTCTTTTTGCTGGTTCAGCTGATAATATTTCAAAGTTTGTAACTTTATAAAGGCAAATAATATGGTTGCTTTTTGTTTTGAAAGACAAACAAATTCTTTTTAGTGTTGTTTTACCTTTAGTAGGGATGTATCTCTAACATCCATACCTAAATCTACACTCATGCAAAGCATATCAACAGACTTTGACAGACATGTTAACAATATTACCATAGCACACCAATTCCGTGTGGTCTTCAAAAGAGCTGTAGCATTTGTAAATGCATGCAAAGATAGCTAAGGAGAAACAGACTTTTGATAACCTAACGCATGCACCGGGATTCAGGTGAAGTGGAAACCCCCTGCTTGGTTACAGCTCACTGGCTGTCAGAGCGAAAAATCAATACAGTGGCTCTCCAGTAGCAGGATTGGACACCAATGATTTAAGGTTTGACACATAAATGAGATGTTATAAAAGTAACTAAAAACCCCACTATCATTTTTTCCATTATTAAAACAGCACCTTTGTTTCCAAATATTTATCTTGTCACAATAATTTCTGTCAATTGTACTTGATTATACGAGTTTTTAAAGTTTCAAATTGATTTGTTTTCATCAGTTAAATCATTTAAAGTGTCTGTGGCTTTGGCATCACTTTGATTTTACTTAAAATGTACGGCAGCAATTAAAACAAGTTTTCAATATTAGTGGGTTTAAATTTTGTACAGTGCAATAACTGAAGGACAATGATCACATCAGCATCCCATCTTCAGACATCTTTGTGATTAGCAGCCAGCTAAATAGAGAGAGAAAACATCATTTTAAAACATTTACAACAGACATCATAAATCCCATAAAGTGAGACATAAATATACATATAATTACTTATTTAATTAATTTGTATTTATTTTTTTGCAACTTCGAAAAATCATGTTACAATGTATATGTATAATCCCAATTAATGGAATCCAGTTGTTTGAATTTTTTAATAATGAAGTGAAATTCACAGTTTGTATGGAAAAAGAGAGATCAAGTTTAAATACAAAGTTAGCATTCAGTCTGAACTGAAGTTTTATTTTTAATACTAAGAGAGTGTAATGTGCGCACATCCAAAAACTTTGGGCAGGTGCTCGATCATATGAAACCCTTCACAGTCAATAAACAAAAATCGGCACATTGCCACTACTGCTCTCAAAAATGTATAAAATCACAACGTTTCGATCCTAAGGTCTTCGTCAGGCAAAACGACCTCAGGGACGAAACGTT